TACCGTGGAACTACACTTTCTCTCCAGTCGAGTTGTTACAGAAACCCTTTGGCTTCCCGCCAGTCCAAGGAAATTTCAGCCAGTAAATCCTCCTAAATGTTTCACAGTAGTACATTTCTGTTTGGTTCTGGTAAATGCTGCATGTTAATGTTATGTAAGTACGTGTGACAGGAGTAAGCTGACTGACTTGAGGTATTGGTCAGAGATTTCACAGAAGTAAAGGGTGTGTCAAATAAGCTGCTTTACTGACAAATGCTTGTGACTTTCCACTTCAAAGTTGCCTAAATGTCAAAACATGTCACCCTCACAAGAAAACAACAGAGAACACTGTATTAAGTTACCCTATTGGATAAAGAAGTAGGTAAATAACCATATATGTCATAAAATATTTTACAAACACATTAATGTGAGAATTATCTTATCTACCAGCTCTTCTGATGCCAACCTCCTGTCTCCACCACTGAGGACCAAGCATCATACCTGGTGCGACAGAGCCTTCTCCATTGCTACCCCCTCCCTCTGTAACTCTCTCCCCAAACAAATCTGAGACTGTACTGATCCATCCAACGTCAAATCACTGATCAAAACCCACCTTTTCAGAACTGCTTTTAAAGATTTTAACAATTAATTATTGTTGACTGCTGTAGATATAGCTATAACTTCTTAGTGTGTTGTTTTTAGCTTTTTCTTTTCCTTTTTAACTCATTCGAAGTGTCTTTGAGTTTCTTGAAAAGCGCTCTATAAATTAAATGCATTATCATTATTATTATTGTTTATTACTTCCTGTCTTTGTCTGTTTTCCCTCCAGTTTTGATTATGTGCCCCATCCTGATTATTTTCACGTCTCTCATTATCCTCCCCCTCACCTGTGTGTCTTCAGTCTTTGTGTTTCCTTGTTTGTTGTGTCAGTTCATGCTTAGATTGGCCTTGTTGGATTTTTTGCCAAAGTTTCACTTTACAGTGTGACTTTAGTTCTTTTAACTTCGTCTTGGTGTCAGTCTCTGTTGAGAGCTCATATCTATCACAATTTCTTTGAGCTCTCTTTATAGTGAAACATCTATATATATGGTACAGATAGATATGGATCTAGTAACTTCTTCATAAATCTACATAACACACTAAAGGACAGGCACTTAGTTAATCAATCAATCATTTTATTTTATTTTTTCCATAAATGGAAATTAGTTGTGCAGCAGTGAAACATAGAAGATAATAGCACAAAGCACGTGATCACATAAATATACAAAATTTTTAAAAATCACTGATTCCCAACCCCCATGCATACAATATACACATACAACATTTAAAGATATGTAACAGTTTTAATATTAAGTTAAATACTTTGCTCAAAGTAAAAGAAGTTAGTAGTTTTATGTTGCTGTGCAGATTTGTAGATAAATACTGTACTTAAACTTAAAATAAGATTGAGGTATATGCTAATTGGTTAAATGTATTTCTTCTGTCCTATTCAAATGTTAAATTAGCTTACATTTTAGGCTTGCAAAAACAAAAAACATCATGTTTTGATTATTTTTCTTTATTGATATTACAATTTAATATTCTTGCTTCAGAGAGGTATTTGTGTACTTAAAATATCTTTTGCGCTTATTGGCATTGTTCCATAGTTCTCTACAGACCGTCCACTATCCACAAAAAGTTGTTGTTCCACAGCTTTGGAGCTAAAACAGAGAAAGCATTTAAGTTTTAACTTTAAGTTTCGACCATGGAACTTTCATCAGATTTTGATGAGAGATGTAAAGTGGAGCCAGGTCATGTATGGATTAAAAAGTAATCAAAATAATCTTAAATTGAATGCTACTGGATTCAGCCAGAACTGGAGTGATGTGTATGAGTGTTTTGCTGCTGCATTGTGAACTGACTGTAGTCTGGCAACTGCTGTGTTGTTTAGACAACTAACAAATCTACATAACACATTAAAGCAAAGTGAAAACCCATTATAGGGCTTCTTTAAAACACCCAGGGTGCCTTAGCACGCACTTAGAACCACTTAGAACCACTGTTCTACACAACAGACAACATTCAGTCTTCAGTTTGTGACAAAGTGAGGGTGGAGTCAGCCACAAACTCACTTGATAGTCCAAATCCAAACGCAGGGTAGAGGGGTTGGGTGAATGTGGAGTGGAAGGTGTGGAGGTGGATTCGTTTGATCCAAGACCCTCTGGATGGAAGGCAGTAGAAGGACACAGTGCCAGCAGCCAGTCCAGATACACTCGCTACGTTGTTAGAGTCAGAGGGTGGTGTGTAAGCATATGTTTGTTGGTGTGTTATTGTGCCAGGCAGTGAAACCCTGAGCAGAGCAGATCAGACTCCAGGACTGATCATTCCATCCAAACAACAGTCTTTACTGTCTCCTCTCCTCTTGATTCCTCTGTCAGTCACTGCTGGATGAAGCTCTCCTCTCCACTCTACCTCCCAGTAACATGGCCCAGTCAAACCTTCGCTACACAGCAGTTGTGTCCAGTGGTCAAATCTCTCTGGATGATCAGGATACGGCTGCTTCTCTGTCACCACCATCACTCGTCTGTTGTCATCAGACAGTAAGAGGTTCCTGTTTGCTGTGTTTGGGTCCAATGAATGCTCACAGAAATCTGATGGAGGAAACAAAAGACAATATCAAAGCAGTGTGTAATCTGATAATTTGGTTATTGATATTGTGTAACTTTATTCCACACAAGCTACATCAGCTAACACGGCTGGCTTTATATATAGTACAACATGGGTTGACCACTCTCCTACATGAAGCATGTAACAGTCCTAAACAGTCTCAGTCCTCATGCCTAAACCTAAACAACCAGTACTTGGCAGTCAGTGGTGGAGTTGGGTGGGCTGTGACTTCCCCACCCTTGGAAATAAAAGTGGGCCTGCCGCACACACAAAAGTCGTCAGTCTTCTCATGTAAATGTCGATAAGAAAATTAATGAGAATGTTCAATTGTTCAAAAAGCAAACCTTTTTTTCACATGAGGATTTAATCAGTAGTCAGATCAGTGACAAATGTTCTACTTACCCCTATAGGGTGATGGTTTTAGTCGATACGCTGCACAATGATCAATCCTGTGGAGAAGTTAGGAGTTGTCAATAACAGAGAAAGAAAAGTAAACACAGACACTAACACATATACAACAGACAAAATATAACTGTACAATCATATAATCTACTCTACTTGAGAGTTTCCAGTTTGCAGTTTGGGTCATCCTTTGCAGTGAACAGCAGATTCACTCCTGAGTCTCCTGGATGATTGAAGCTCAGGTCCAGCTCTCTCAGATGGGAGCGGTTGGAGTTCAGAGCAGACACCAGAAAAATACAGCCTTTCTCCAAGATCTGACAGCCTGACAGTCTGCAAACACAGACACAAATCTTAATCTTTATTAATCAATAATCTTGAACTAAATAAGTCAGTCAGATACAGCATCTGCATGACTACAGACCCTGCACCAATCTGCCTGTCAATTCAATGCTCCCTCTTAGCAAAAAGTTAGAGTAAGTTATCATGAACAGAGATGAAGCCTGTCAATTCTCAGTTTAATTCTGAACTCAAATATCTTGAGTGGTATTTTTGGTTTTATAAGCATAAGCCAAAAGTAAACAGAATCTTATATATACTGATGATTAATGTTAATAATAATAGATACATAATAGTTATTAATCTATTTAAAGGATAATCTCATCAATACTAACCTCAGTATCTCCAGTTTACAGTGTGGACTCTTGAGTCCTGTTGACAGCAGCATTAGATCTCCTCAAATGCACATTTATGCTTGTTCATATTTGTTAATGAGAGATTTTCACACTGCAGCCCTACTTTATATCCCTCTGGCAAAATCAGAATCACTGAGGCCCTACAAGTGTATGTTAATTACTTAATATCAATACTTCGTCCACTCATTTCTTGAAGGGTTTTTCCTTTATTTGTCAAGTGATGCTTTAGTACGGAAGCCCTAAAGGCCCATGCATTCAATACATTTTATTTCCTCCGTTTTCCGTGATAACGAGTTAAATTTTTTTATTATTATTAATGTATTCTCAGCATTATGGTAACTTAATGCGGAGAAAACGCGTATTCACTTTCGGTTTTCAAAATAAAGGTATTAAAGAACAGTAAGGGCTATAAAAAATTTTCCCCCCAAAAAAAACCCTGACATT